TGCAATTAAAAACGTAAAGGGATTTCAAAGTACCACTTATTGTGGTATTGATTGTAGAGTATTTAGTGTTATTACAACTCTATCAACAACTCCCTCCTTCTCTTCGGGAAGGCATCCGCGATGTGCTCATCGTGTGTGCACGTGCGTGCCAAGGAGTGGCGGATTATTTCATTACACAGGTGGGCGTTTAAGTCGCGGTCGCGGCCACGAGAGCCCAAGAGATCGGCCATTGTCAGGTGTAAATTCCACAGATGACTTCTGCCCAACGCACAACATATACAAATATTAATAGATAATTAAGTACTAGTAAAATGTATGCAACCAACTATACACAATACTACTTTATGCATAATTTTATGCAACCAACTATACATTAAGAGAATTTTAACCTCCAAAGTAATTATTGCGCGATGATTAATTATTTGTGTTGGTATAATATTATCGTCGCAGTTGGCGTCGCCACGAGATCCAAGAAAATTCCATGAATATTCAGTGCACTTTCAATCAAACAGCGTGAGCTACACGTTGGCGACCGGACACGAAAATCTCGCATTCGACGCATTAAAAAATATTTTTTATTCAAATTAGAGTAGTTAGTTACGAGATTACGAACGCCGGGGAGGCGCGATCCGCGCCGCGACCGAATGACATTAATTAATTACGATATTTATATCAAAACGCGCATCGTTGCGCACATCTCGAAGCTGGCTGGCTACGCGCGTACAAGCAGATTATGATATTTTTCAGGATTTACATGTTTCCTTTGTGCGCACTGTTTTCCTGGGGATTTTTTCCCGTGTCGCGCATATTTTACGCCCGAACAAATATTTTAGTTGCCCGCGCGCGCGTCGAGCGAGAGCTTTCAACAGTGAGCGCGCCGCGGCACGGAAAAAATCGACAAATTGCCTTCGGCTCGCCACTAAACCCTAAAAACACGTGTATACGATTTATTCCCACCGAATGGAATACTTGGAATTAAAACATCACACGCCACACTATGACGTAAAGCAACATAACCTAAGTTATGACCTAAAAGTAGTATCTAAACCAACCGGTAGAGGTCTCAACCTGAGTGCAGCACGTCAATTAAACTTGTGCATAAGACACGCAAAACACAACTTGTTAGTTGCTAGTAAGTAATAGTTTGCTTAACCTCTTCGACCTCCATGTGACCTTCGTGAACCAGTCAGTAGTCGGTTTGACACCTCGAAAATACCTAATTAAAATCGAAAAGTAATTCCGTCGTTGAAATTGCAAAAACGTCGCGTCTAGGATCATAAATTTCCGCTATAAATGGCGCTGCTAATTAATTCGCCAGTGTTAATTAATCACGGTCGACAGATCCGAGTTTGCGCGGTGTGGCACGCCGTGTAATTAATTTGCCGAAGAGATCAGGTGGGTATCGAGTGACCGCGCATCCGCTTATTAATATGCGCGGTACGCGCACACCTAAATGTGTTGGTGAGTGCGTGTATGCGCGGAGGCTGCTTAAAATTTTCAATTTAATTATTAATTAAAATTCACGGTATGCAAACGATGTGCGCGACGCGCGTCACGGAAACAGGCGAGGACGCAAACTCCGAGGCGTCGCGGTGATTTTAATTAGTTTCAGTGTAATTTATTCCACGTGCAAAAGATAAAAAGCGAAAAACAAAAAGTTTTAGTGCCAAGAACTAGCTGCAAGTAAAACTAGCAATTATTATACGTCACATATCAGACATAACCTAAGTTTTAAGCTTTTGATGGAAATTCAATGTTGTACTTCAATTTTACTTAATAAATCTTATGAAATACGTCAAATATGTTAATATTGATACATTTTATCAACATAACCTCAATTCTAAACTGTTTATCAAAATTATTACTACATTAAATTAATTTTTAGCTGTTTTCGACGTCTCAGATCTGACATAACCTTAATTTTAAGTTTTTAGCAAAGAATTCAACGTTTAAACTTAATTTTGTGTATAAAAATCATACATATTTTTAAATAAAAATGAATTCATGGTCTAAAATGTAAATATTGATATAAATATTCAACATAACCTCAATTTTTAACTTTTAACCTAAATTATTACAAAATTTAATTATTTTTTAGCTGTTACAGTCTGTATAATAAAAAATATCTCGGTTCATTTGCACGAAATGGTAAATCTTGTCATTGAAATCCAAGAGGACAATAATTAATTGTTGAGAGTTAATGATGAATGATGACTGGTGGATTCGAAAAGTGCTGCGCCTTCCTCGGTGCGTCGAAGCAATCCGATCCAGCTCTGACATCGTTTAGTGCGTTCGTCGAACGAACTCGCGGGGGTCACGAATTTGTTAATTGCCAGCGATTATAATCTGTACACATTAATTAAAATGAGACAATGCGTTCTCGGAACGCTCTCCGCACGGAATGCATCTGGCCACGGCGCGCACACTCAAACCCACATCATCGCAATCAACCAGAACCACCATACCATACCAAGCCTCAACCACAAGAAGAAGAAGAAGTCAGATTTGAATAGTCTTAGTAGCGTTTAGTCGAAATGAGAAATAGAAGCGAGAAAAGGTGAGATTCGTGCGGGATGATAAATCAAAATTTGAAATAACACTTTTTGGACGCCTCTCACTCACGGGGACCTCCCTCGATCACATATAAAACATCAACATACCAAGTGTTTAAAGCACAAGCAAGAAACGAAATAATAAAATTAAATCTGTTTTTATTTTCCGGTGTTTCCCGCATGTAACATACGCACAGACGCGCTTGTTAATAAGATTATGATTCAGTGCGGCCGGAGCATCGTCATAATCGGCAATAAAAATGCGTTTGTCTGGGCTCCTTTATCGACGATGCTGAGGCAGAACATCTGTACGCGCAGTGTCGCCGGCGCATTATGCTGGCATTAAAGCAGCAGCCTTATTAAACCATGATTATAAAACATTGTAATAAAATTTCACACATTAAAATAAAATTCGTATAAATTATTTGTGTAAACTGGTCGTCATTAAGGTGGTATGTTTATGATACTTAACGTCGGCTCGCCTCATATTTTCGTTAATAAATTATCGCGCAACGCACAAAACGAGCGCCGAAGGAAAATCGAAGCGGAGGAAATTATTTGTCGTAAAACTACATTATGGTGACTACCGAACTATCACAAATATACCTACTATACTCAGTAAAAAATTTTTTACTTAAATTTTGTCCTTGATTTAAATTTAAAGCAATAAATTCTGATTTCTTGATTTTTTTTTTCTTTTGCATTCAAAGGTATTGTTCTATTCCGAACCGAATTCGTGCGTTCGATGCGTGCATCTTTCTCGGCCGATTTAATAAATGGTTTTGTCGCGCGGTAGGCGAGAGAGCGGCGATATAGTCCCCGAGTCCAGCGCGGCAGGCACCCATTGTCCACCTCAGGTGTGCATACGTGTATGAGTGTCGCTGTGCCCCGACGAAGAATTCCTCGAGGTGTGACAGCCAAAGCCACCACCCTACGATATCAACCCGCACACCTTTTGATCATCTCTCTCTCTGTGCGCGTAAAGTTAAAAAGACGAGTTAAAGTTGCAAGTTGCACGTGTGTTGGAGAGCGAGCAGAGCATTCCGGGACTCATAATCAGTTATGCATATTAAGTTAGTTAAGCTCATTATTATACCCGCGGAGTCTTGTTATTTATACACGACAGTATTAAATGCTCGCTTGTGCACCGGGCGGGCCGAGAGGTGGCATTGTGATGGGGCCAGCGTCGCGCGGATTGCGCGCTTCGTACATGTGTTAAGAAGATTAACAGGATTCCGTAATTGCTCATTCCCTCGTTTCCAACACAATTTCGTATTGGTTTTCATATTTTATTGCTCCTACACGACCAGACAAAACTTCCACTGCATTTCAATACTAATTTAACCTCAAAACATCACTAAAACACTTTTAAAATCAATGAAAACAATTTTAGAGGTTATAAAATAACCTAAAAAGCTTAAAATTATTTTAAGTTGAATGAAATTTTTGTTTTTTCAAAGTTTTGAATATTTTGTAATAGTTGTGTATGTTGTGTTGCATATTCTCGTTTCGTTATGTTCGTCAGAGTCATCAGGGCAGGGTTATGTTCGTTTGGCGATGGGCAAAAGCCAACGAGATCGAAGATCATGTTACATAAATTAAAATCATTTCATACGCTGGAAGCCGCTGCTGCGTTTCCATTTTTGCGTTTATTAAGCGCTGCTGCCGTCCGAAACGAATTGGATATTTATTATTTTTTCGCATTTAATTAGACCCACCAGCTTACCCGCAACCAGCACTTAATTTTAATAAAACTCACTGGTAACATAATATTCGTTGTTAAAAATATATGTAAAGTGATACAAGTGCCGCCCTCTACGAAGCATGCCGGAATTCAAACTAACGGAAAGATAATAAAACAAGTGAAACATTGTTGGAATTTGATTCTCTAGTTTGGTTGTTTGCTAGTTTGATTCTTCGGCGTTGTGTGTGAGTATCTTGCACTCTGCACCTCTCGATATATTTATTGATGACGATTAAGTTGTACATGTGCTGAATCTAGTATTCGCCACATGCGTGGCCGGTGCGCCAGGTTCAGACATGGGCTGTTATTCAGGAGCCCACACGTTTTTGTCGCCGCGACTCGATTCGCGATTCCTCGCCGTACTCGTATAATCACCGAGTGCATCGCGCCCGCCGCCGGCCCGCCGGCATAAACAAACCTATCGATATAAAACGTGCATTTACATTTCCTAAACACATCTCGTGCGCGCGAGTCTTTCGTTTTTTCGGAGCGCGACGTTTAAACACGCATCGTGCTCGCATAAATCTGCAATAGATGCAGCGTGTTATCAATCGCAAGCTACACGGCACCAGTCGGTGATGTTCTCGAACGTGTCGACGGGTTTTGTGATAAATAATAAATAAATGCGCGCCATGTCGAACACAATCACAACTAGCGTGGCGAAAGAGACAATCACAATTGGAGAATGAAAAAGATTCACTTACAGTTGATGTTAGACCACGGCGTCAATGGCAGAGAACATCGCTGAGATAGTCTGGGTATGTTGCACAATGATTTCACTAATTTGTCCGTCTGAAAACCGTTGAAAATCAGGGAAAACGTTAAAACAAAGCGCTGACGAAAACGCGGTCGACTTGTGAATATTATTAGGCTATGTTGGACCGGCGCACTGTGTGTGCGCGCTGGCGCTACATGCGCGCGCTCACGCTTTCAACACTTGTATTGTGCGAAGTACGCGAGGAATATTAATTCCTAATCGGGTTTTACCTAATGTCCGAATGCAAATTGCAACGGTTTGTTCGACCATTTGATAGACACGCATGGAATATCAATGTGTAACTAATTTTCATGCTAAACAAAGGCTAATAACTACAGCAAATGAAACGTATGAGAAAATGTGAAGTATACCGGCCTAACCTTGTCAACACTCAATTTTATTACCAGGTAAAACATTAATTATTCAATAACTATGCATGATACAATCATAATTCTTTTGGTTTCAGATTTGGAATTAAGTTATACATTAAATGGTATATAATATTCATTAGATCGTTGAATATGTATGCAGTCAGAGGCCAATTACTAAATTTGGAGAATATTAAATTTAATTGCAGAGTAACATGCGTAGAAATACAATAAATATGTGATATTATAACTTAATATGTGTAATATTATATATAGAATTAGTTACTGAAAGAGGAATTGCTTTTGCTTTATTAGTTTTCGCGTAAATCAAGAATTTCTTCGAAAAAGCACGAGTCAAGCTGTTCTAGGGCCTATGTCAAGGATCACGATCTAAAGAGAACTAAAAACAGTTTACTTTACATGTTTTGCCCAAAAATTCAATGAGTTGCAAGTATATTACTCACATATCTTTATGAGAGTATAGTATTCAAATTTGCAAATAAATAGGTAATATAAAGGAGCTACAATAAATTATAACTTGCTAAGAAACTAAATTCACTTCATAGTGACTACTCTTTTAAAAATTAAGTTTTATTGCCTTGTAACTATGGTTACACTAATTTATGCTGGTCAGTTTTAGTTAAGGAGGGTTCCATTTATGAATAACTATTAAACTATTTAGATAAAGCATAATTTTATTTTGATTTGGACCCTACTTTGACTTATATGAAGAATAACGGTCTAAAATAGACATATATGTGTTTTTTAATACTTTTCTTCTTTATTGGCCTGAAATTTATTTGCAAAATTATATTTTAGGGCATCTAATATCAAATAAGTGCAAAATTTACTAGGAAATCAGATGGAAAATGGTCAATGGTCGTTTTGATACCAAAAAACTTCAATTGGATGAAACACTGCGCTGAAACACGTTGAAATTCAATTGTTTCTGTATGAGACTTGTCTTTGACTCTTCTTGAATCAAGTTGGAATATTTGAATGAATGAACGCTTTTCGTTGATACCGACTTTTACCTCCCACACTTTCGGTGGACTCTCGAGTTCGAGATGCTCTCGAAGTCTCGAGCTTCTAAAGTCGTCTGGGGATTGTGGCATTGTGGTCCGCGATTAACAATGGCCCGACGGGATATCGAATACAAAATACATAAATACATTGAATTCATTACGGCGTGGCGATGCTGGCGGAGCGCGGCGGTCGCGGGGTTAGGCGGGCGGCGGGCCCACAATGTGACAGTGTTAAGACGGCCGCGCGGGGCCGCCTTAACGAGCTAATCAATAGATCACGGCCGGTCCTCGATCATTTATCATCTCCCTTAAAGAGATTTGTAATAACGATCGCCGAGAATCATCATTATTTGATTCTCTTGCTCTTGCTCTCTGCCAAGCTGCGTGCTTTCGTCTTAACTCTTAAGCTAGTTGTTGTGCTTGTTGTGCGTTTATAGGACATGTATTGCTCTATAGTACACTTCTTCTTTTTATTTATTTAAACATATTAGGTTTTATAAATTACGATTCGAATGATTGAACGTTGGCGAAGAAAAAAGTTTAATGAACTGAAGTGTCAATATCACAACATATAATGATTATGACAGGCTATTAATATTTAATAACAATTAATTTTTCTACGAGTGTAGAGATGAGGTTATGTTGCGGTTGTGTGAGGTGAGGTTATGTTTGATCGAGAGTGCAGTATCGAAGCACACGCAATAAAACGTGCTGGAGGTAAATGAAATAAATGAAACGAATCAAAGTTACATTTCGTTGTTTATCATGTTTATTATATCGACGCGGTACCGAGGATGTCAGGGCCCCGCTTCGGACGGGGGACGTCGCGGTCGTGCGCCCGGCTCGCTCGTAGGTGGTTTATTCATTTATTCGCTCGCGCGCACGTCATTACGGCACAGCACCGGCGTTTTATTTATGTCGCGGACGCATCCAGCGATGTTCGATATTTTATTGCGCATATTTCTGCCAATCGGGAATCTATAAGCGAGCGATTTAACGTGTCGCCCATTATTACGTTTATTACTCACGGGCGAGCGCAATTCTGCGAAATACGTCAAGGAAGATTCAATATTGAATGCAGAACTGCTTAGAAACGTACATACATTTAATGACTAATATGGCGGATGTATAAAATGGCCGATTGGTTAACTACCATGGCTTATTGTGAAATACTTGCATTATTATACTGAATATCTGTTGGAAAAGCAATTTTTGTGTTAATATTAAATGGAAAAGTATTAAAAACGTGCAAAAACCGGATGTGACGCGTGATTTCGCGTTGATTTATATTGCCCCTATCATTTTGAACGTCATTTATTAAGAAAATTTGAATTTGACGGCTTTTTTGTCTACTAATCGATGTTTTTTGTATTTATTTTTGTTATTTTTTATGCAATACTAATAAAAAACATATTTAGTAAATCAACGTGTTAGTTACAACATGTATAACTCAAGAACGGCTGGACAGATATTGATGATCTATGATTTTTTGGATTCATTACCTCTTCAAATAGGATAATCGCTATTAAAATATCAAAAATTCTCATTTAAAGTGTGTTAAATCAGGGGTGGTAATAGGTACACGGATTTAATCATGATTATAGTTAAATACTTGAATAAGAGATGGCGCTAAAGTGCTATATAATTAATTTTATCTCGAAAAAGAAAAAATATTTGCAAAAAAATCGATTATTAAGTTTTTTTATAAATACAAACATGGCGTCCTACAAAATCGTACTTGTAATGACCCCAATTACCACCACGCATAATAATAAGTTCCCACCACATACTCGCACCAAATCCCAGTTCGTTATATTAAATTTTGTTACCAAATAAAAAAGTCGCTTAAATTAATGAAAATCCCCGCAGATTGACACCGTTTAACAGCTTGTGTGGCATTACACGCGTCCGAGGTGTCCATCGCGCGTCGTCGTCGTACGCTTCCACTTATAATGAAATAAAACCGCGTCCCCGGCGCAGAAATAACAAACAAGCTGCGGAGACGCTGCCCGTGTGCTGGTGTGCAATCTGCAAGTGATTGCCAATTGGACATTCGCTCGTCCGGCCGATGCGCGTAAATATATTGCCATCCACCACCGACTGTTCCACGAATTATCCTCCACACGCATAAAATCAAACCAATGCAAATTGGGATTTTATTTAATTTAAATCTACTGTGTGTATACCACGGCCAGAATGAACGAAGGTAGATTTTTATGCGTGCGTCCCCGCTCGCGATATATTAATGCCGCACTATAAAATATATATGCACCTATAAACATTTCATTTTATACGTGCATTACTGACTGCTTGACTGGCTGTGGCTGTGGATGTGGCGGAGTCGAGAGCTTGATTCGTGCGAATGCATTATTGGTAAATAATAATAAAGCTTTTGCAAAGGCGAGTTGTCCTTATAAATTCAATGCCAACAACAAAAAACAAGTATTTAACTAAAAATAATTGAAAATACAAACAGTAGATGGCGACACTCGTCGAGGGGAAATGGTTGATTAATGCTCAATTTATAATCGTTTAGTTAGAATTTCACTTTCTTGATGTGGAAATTATCGATATCGATATGCCGTGACTCCGGGAGGCTTTCCGTGGGCCGGCGCGATTGTTCCGACGTCGAAGCGCGCACGGCACGCCGAGGCCCCCGCGGGACACCTGGGGGCCGCCGAGGCTCCGACGCGATACCATCAATCCGATATAATTAATTGTGTTTTTATATTTTGTTTAATCATTCTATTAGAAACGATGCGCCCGCCCGATGCCATCGCGATCTGCCACGAGTTAAACATTTCAAAATATACAGAGTGTTCTCACAAATTTTACGAATAATTTCTTTAAAATTAAATTAAGCAATGTTTACGTGGATATTTCTGATCGCCTTGTATGTCATAATTTACTCGAATCATCTTCGCGAGGAGTGAAGATGAAATGAACAAGAATGAACAAGAACAACAATAACAATCTTCGACGTGGTGCGGTGCTTGACTCGGCTCGCGTTTGGCGTTTGCATTCAGATATTATTATTCATTCGTTCACCTCGAATCGGGCGTCCCTTTTCAACACACGCCTGCATTCGGTCGCGATGCGTATAAATATTCCGAATGCCAATGCAAAGTGTTTCTTGATTATAGATTACGCAGCGCGTTCCTTCCTCTTCTTTATTTTTGTGTGTGTGTGTTTTTTCTCTTCGGCTTTGCGTTTTACTCTTCGTTTTGCGCCTGGAGTGCGTGGCGACTCTTCGTTTTCACTGCTTGAAGGAAGAGGCTTATCTACACCTTCATTAGCTATCGTTTTACTAATCAATCTCGGCGCTGTGCTCGAGTTGAAGCCGAGGAGTTCTGTTTGTTTGATAAATATCGGATCGAACGTCAGTTTATTTATTCGCCGGTGATTACCGGGTGATAAAACGCGCTTGCGCAAGCGTTTATGTCCGCCAACAATGTCAGCCATCTTGAAAACAGGCAAACATCTGTATGATTTGTGTATTGTGTGTTTGGTTGCCTAATAATTACAATAAAAAAAACGCGTTTGGAATGAAAATTTGTAGGTTTTATGCGTGTATACGTGCTGTGATTGATTGAAATCTATCGAAATCAACAACAACAAAAAAACTAAACTAATTGTGTTCGTTTTGACAGACTTTTCTTATTGTTAATGCTTTTTTTGTTGGGTTGACGTTGGTCAAGTCAAGTTTAACTAGAGATAAAGATCGCATTCGCCGATGGAGGTGAGGGTATTTAATCCGAGCGTGCGCGAGCGCGAG